AGGAGATGACAAAGCACAGAATTCTGGTGTTTGGAATCCAAAATTATCATTTCGCGTGGGACATTGTTCTGCAGAAGTTGTATACACTACCATCTAATCAAAATGGATCGTCAAGAACACAGGATTTAAATGCAACCCAAGCTAGTTTCACGGATATTTGGACTGATGTCGTTGATAGTAAGTTTTTAGCGATTATGCACGCACTTGTGATTTGTATACTAATTTCGGTTAGACGGGCTCTTTGCAGCTGCATCCTCTGAGGAGCGGAAATATTGGGGTTTCCTCCTTTTTATAAAGACTATGAACGAGGCCCCGCCACATCTTGCTGCATTGGTCTTCACGAAAAACCTCATGCGGTGTTTCATGAATCAGCTAGCTGTTGAAGATCGGTATCTTCACCGGATAGCTGCGAAGGCACTCAGGTCCATCCAAGCGCGCATAGCAAGGGAGCCAGAATTTATTGTGGATGCTATAAGCGGACTAATGGGCCCGAATGGTGCGGTAAACTTTGATCACATTACGAAGACCAAAACTATTGAAAAATTGATATCTACCCTTAGCGTGGACACTTTGAAGGAGATCATCCCGTTATTTGAAAAAATGATTGCATCTCCCGGCATGGAAGATGTTAAAGCTGCAGCATCGACTCGACAACAACTTACTGGATATTTGCTCTCGGCCGTGAGGACACAGGCGTCGTCTGTCATTAACACCACTGCCCCTGACGAGTTACATTCATCAATCAAGAGTGTTTTGCTCCTCCTAGCTCGCTTTGCTTATTTTGTACACAATGAAAGTAACAGAAGCAAGCTAACTCCAGTAAAACCTCCAATCGCGGAAGCTACCCAGGAGTTATTTCGTAATAGGATGATGTCCTGTTTGCATATCGTCATCAGTGGCCGGAACAGTCCAGCTGCTGTCCCTTACACTGTGGTTCGCAAGATCCATGAAATGGATATGGAAGGGACCTGGGGCAAATTTGTCATTGAAATGGGCGAAGACATCAAAGAATCTGTTACGTCTGCTTTCAAAACGCTAAAAAAGCTTACCCATAAGGTAAAATAACTGATGCATTTGACTTCGATATATTAAGGCTAACTTTTCGACTCTAAACAGGAAAAACACGCTGAGAAGAAGGAAGCATCCAGTATCCAGGCACTTATACTTCTGTACTCGATGACCATCTTGCAGGTGTATAACGGAGATGCTGATGCTGTTGAGATGCTTGACGAGCTAAAATTCTGTTATTCTACGTTCCTTGGCCACAAATCAGAGCGTGACGAGGCAGAAGAGGGGTCGGATGCGCTTGTGGAAATCCTCCTCAGCTTCGCATCGAAGCAATCGCAACTTTTTCGTCGGATGAGCGTGCAAGTGTTTGGAGCTTTTGCAGATCAGGTCACTGCGACTGGTCTTCAATCTTTGATTGATGTATGCATGTCACTATCATTTTTAATTAGAAATCTCGACCTATGCTGACTCTCTTTTCCAACCAAGATCCTTGAAGCTAAGGACACTTTGGCAGGTCAGGAGGAAATATTTGAAACCCAAGAAGTGGGCAGTGATGTAGAAATGGTTGATCCTGAAAACAACGATGATGACGAGGTCGATGATGTTGAAGTAATCAGCCAAGCCTCTTCAGGGGAAACCGGCGACAAATCCGACGAAGAGTCAAAAGACAGTGACTCCGAAGAGGAAGACTATGGCGAACTCGAATCCTTCGAAGCGAAACTCGCTTCAGCATTAGGAACCCACCGAGCTGACAAGGACCTGGATGCCTCCTCGTCTGGCTCCGAAGACGCCTCCATGGATGACGATGAAATGGAAGCCCTCGACGATCAAATCGCAAAGGTCTTCCGCGCACGCAAGCAAGTCTATAGCAAAAAGAAAGAGCAAAGAGACGCCAAAGAGACCATGCTCAATTTCAAAAACCGCGTGCTCGACCTGCTCGAAATCTATGTGAAGAAATGTCATTCCAACATCCTTGCCCTCAACCTTCTTATGCCCTTATTACAACTCAGTCGCAAGTCAAGGACCAAACAAATCGCTACTCGCGCCGGTAATGTGCTCAGGGAATATACCAAACAATGCAAAGGAACAGCTAGCATCCCCGCCATCGAATCTGCAGAGCCAGTCTGGGAACTATTGAAGGCTGTTCATCAGGAAGCTACGCATAGCGGGCCGGCTATTCATGCATCGGCCTGTAGTCAGGCGAGTTTGCTGCTGGTGAAGATTCTTGTGGCGCATGGAAAGGAGAGTTTGTCGGATATTGTCGATATTTATGGCGAGACACGCAAGAAGCAGCTTACAAGCAAGAAGTGTCATGTCCAGCCGTCGTTCTTCTCGGATTGGAATAATTGGTGTGTTTCGGCAAGTAAACAGAGCAAGGAATAGTTGAGCGATCGGATATCTCCGAAGTCAAAGGAGGCGGAGTGTTATTTCCTGGAGCTCATATCTCTGGATCCCTTCTTTCTCCCCTTGTACTTTTTGAGGGTAACATCTACCCTCTCTTGACTTCAGTCCTCGCCAATATATTTGTGTCGTACTTTTATTAGTTTTGCTCTTCCCGGGATTTCACTTCCATTTTTAATACATTTGTCTTAAATCTGCCTCATAATTTTATGCTGAAACAAGGCAAATGCTTGATCTGCATGTATACTCCCCAATTATCTCCAATGACGGTTAAACTCTAAAATAATATTTAACCTAGGCCTTTGATTAAACATCACAGCGAGCTACCAGCTTCTAGCAAGTTCGATTATTCTGTGCCAGGCTAGAAACGGGTAAAATGTCACACCTCAAAAGCAAAGGGGTGAATGACGGCAACCAAGCCAACCGTCCCTGGGAGGGCTCGAACATCGTACCTCTCGATAGCAATCGAACGCGCTATCCAATTGCGCTACGGAGGCACCCTTGCGAATGGCCCAACTGTAGTACTGGGGTATTGGAAGGACATCGTTGCTGGGCCCAAACAGAGGATATAACAGGAATCGAAGAGTGCTGCAGTCTAGCATTGACAAAGATATATACATCGCCCACAACTCCATGTTGCTATTTCACGGTTCGGACAGCAACGGCATTTCGCTGTGGTAATTAGGTAAGCTCTCAACAGGACCACTTCAATGCCGACGTCGATATGCAAGGAAAGAATGCACCTTGTCCGTCAGCGTATCATGTTGGCTTGAAATCCGATTCACGACTTCCGCTAAGGGCGAGATGACGGGAGCTTCATTTCCCGTTTATATAAGACAGAATGGCCCCAGTCCGAGCCGATCAGAAAATGGTCTGAAAATCTGAACGAGCTAGCCGCCTTGTAGAGATCGAATAATTAGGAACAAGAGATCGGCAGAAAAATGTATGACACAAAGACAAGATACCTTGATATCAAAAAGGAAACTGCCTCCATGATTTATTTTCTCAGTCTGAATAATCAGTGTTGTCCTCTTTTGACTTCTTCCTTTTTCCTGCCCCAGTTGTGCCAGATTTAGACTTCCCCTTCACTTTACTATTTGTGGAAAACATATCCCGTAGATCCCTTTGCTTCGATTCCTTCTCTTGCTTCTTATCAAACATTGTCTGATGTTTCTCTCTTTCTTCCTTCCCCTGCTCCGCCAATTCCGCCTCCAGTCTGAGAAATTCGTGGCTTTCAGTATCCATGCCAATAAGCGATTCGAGAAGCTTGATCTCCTTCGCCCATATAGACTTATCCTCAATCATAACCGGCTTGCCTGGTTTTGCCTTCTTAGTTGAGCCTTTTTTGGCAGAGGTATTTATTTTCTTGGAATCCGTTTCGTTCGAGTGATCGCCCTTACAAACGCCGTTCTCGTCGTCTGGTTTCCCAGTAGCCATCTCCGCCTCCGATTTCGCAGGTCGGTCAATAGGTGTTTCTAAGATCATCGGAATGCCTTCTAATCTCTTGTCATTCATTAAATTATGAAAAGCCCTCAGACCGAGAAACCCAGTTCCTATATTTGCGTGTAAATCTCGTCGGCTACCCAATGGGGTTTTGGAGTCGTTCAGGTGGAAAGCTCGTAGGTACTGCAAGCCTACTTCTTTGTCAAATTCTTCCATGAAATTATTCCAGCTGCTGGGGCTACGGAGGTCGTATCCAGCAGCGAAACTGTGGCAAGTGTCCACGCATATACCAATGCGAGAACGGTAAGTGTCTGGAATGAGAGCAAGGAGTGATTTGAAGTGTGATAATGGCCCTCCTATCGTGGTACCATGACCACACATAGTTTCGAGGACTGGAACAACTGTCGTCGTGGCTTTGAGAGCGGAAACGAGAGCTTGCGCCAATCGTGATAATGAAGACTCTAGGGAGGCTTTGTTGGTTGCGCCCGGGCTGTTTTGAACAAATCAACAATCCGCTATTGCGTGGAGTGTTTAACAGGGCATCAAGGCGGAGCCAGATGATGAAGTGAAACGTACTGGAAATTATAGAGCTTGATGCCAAGCTCTTCACAGCGTTTCAGATCATCAAGAAAAGAATCGTATGCCTGCTTTGCTTTTGTTGGGTCTTCTTGCGCCAGATTCACCAAATAGGAGCCATGAGGAAGAACGTGCCTGGATCGGAATCAGTTTGTGTATTCCCTTTAGGAGATCGAAATCAGCTAGTCACTTACTTCGAAGCATCGTAGTTATGATCTAAACAAAGTTGCCGAAATTGGTCTCGATGCTCGCTCTGTAATGGTGGGTTGTCCCATTTCCTCTGCGATTTTAAAAATAGCGCGAAGGCATTTCCTCTATCTCTTGTTAGATACAAAAATCTGATTTGGGGTACAAAATCGAGAAAACGGATATGAGATTTTCCAGTCGAAACACTAACCCGATGTAAAGGCTGTTTGTAACAGCATTTTGAACCCCTAAGATGAGTATTAGCTTTGGGATATATCTCCTGTCGCGAGCGAAGGGAATGGAAATACAAACCTTTTGCGGCGCTAATATGAGCTCCAACAAACATTCGCAGATTTGTAGTTCGAGATGCTAGTGGGTTCATTTCTATCGTGGCCTCCTCCTTTACTTTGTTCTTTTTCGGCCGCTTTTCCGCTTTGACTTTGTATTCTGCTTCAACTTCTTCCTCACTAGAGCGTTCTTCTTCTGAGTTCGATACCGTCGCTTTCCTTTTCGTACCACGTTGTAAGATTTCAGCCTTCCCTTTATCTACCATAACTTTTTTCGTATGTCCTATTTTTGATACTCCCGCACCACCGTCAGCTCCACTGAACGTTCCCACAGCCTGGGAGCCGTTGGTTTTAATGTTGATATTAGGATTAGGTGGTGCAGGTTCAGAAGGTTTTGACGTATGCGCCGGGGGACTGCCCGAACGGTTAATTGATACTTTCGGCTTTGGCGATTGATCACACGAGGGAATGTTCGGAACGAATCGAGAGCTGCGGGTGGCTCTTGTCGCCATTACTGAGTGTCTAATGTTATGGCGGCTGAATGTTGTTGATGGCAACTACAAGGTAATATCGACGAGCATCTCTAAATCAGAGGTTGAAACAATTGGCGGGATATACTCGGAGGTGTTTTGAAAAGCGTCGTCCTTGATATTTAAAGTTGAACTTGACGCTGTAGTTAACCAGAAACCGTGTCAACGCTAACCTCAATAGGCAAGATCTTGACCCCTGGGGTGAACATCAAGATCTATCAATTCAGGTTTCGATGGATTATATATGATGCATGAGATAACTTCTACTGTATTGCAACAGGTTTGCCGTTAAAATTATCATATTTTAGGAATGCGCAGTAAAAGATTTCAATAGTTACTAGTACTCAATTGCATGCATCATTTTATAGTACTGTAGTATCCAACTGGCAGCAAGCAGCCATAGTGGTAAAAACTGATTTGAGCAATTCCAACAATATCCGGCTCAAGAAACCCCATTCATCCGGCATTGTACGCCAGGCGGCAAACACCAATTAATCACTCAGAGAAGGGACCCAAAGGGCAATAATATCTCATGCCTCTGAATCGAACAAACACTGTTTAAACCAGCCAACAGCCGCATTCTTCGCTCTCCTCATAGCTTCTCGTTCCCCTTGATGCCTAGAGTCACCGCGAACGAGGCAACCATGCTCCACACCGGGAAAGTGGTGATAGTCCAACGGCAATCCCAGTTTCTGGATCGTCTCAAACGTGTGCAATTTGAGCTCGGGGGAATACATCTGATCGGTTTCGGGGGCCAGAACCTGCACGGGAACTGCCACCTCGTCGATGTCTTTCTTTGTCAAGAACGTTGGATGTCCCATCGAGATGCAATCAACGAGAGGCGGCTGGTGTTCCTTCGCTCCCAATCTGAAAACGGCCCAGCCACCGTAGCAAAAGCCTATAGCACCAACCTTCTTATAACTCAGGCGCAGGGCCCTGGCGCACTCGAAGATTTCGGGTTCACGCATTTCGCGGCCGTTTTCTTTCATGAAGTTCGGGAGGTCAAGTAGGTCAAACCTGCCGGCGATGATGTTTTCGGACGATAATATGGCTCCCCCAAAGAAGTCGGGGAGGTAGACAGTTACATTAGCCTCACGTGCGTAGTGGTCGGCTAATATGCGCAGGTTGGGAAATGTCCAACCAAACAGATCATGAATGAGCATCACGGCGACATCAGAGTTGTTACCGGCAATGTAGACGTCGTTGTTGCCAAGTTTACCAACCCGTCCAGTTGGCGTACCGTCCCATTCGAACCCTTTGAGGCAGCAGTCTGACGCTGACATTTTGGCCGGTGGAAAGATATTGACACAAAAAATATATTTGCAGAATTGCTGGATATGCCCTTTGCTGGACAGAGAAGTTGAACGTACTGTATATATATACTGCTTACTGCGTAGGTGGGCCGGGGGGGTCCGGGAGCACCCCAGCAAACATGAAGGATGCTCGTACTCCGTACTACACAAGAACCAAATCATTTGGATTTCAAATCAGCAGCAGCAGAACATCCTGGTTCGAAATGCAGAGAAACGGGTTTAGATGCAATCATTCAACAACAAGACCGATACAGTATGTCCGATACGCGGATATAAGGTGTTATCAAGGGTGTTATCCATGTGTTATTACAGGACCCACCCATTGCTTTATAGGACTCCGAACAAACAAATCTTATAGAATGAGCAAAAGGAGTTCAATTTCTCTGTAATAAAGCCAATAATATGCAAAGTTTTCTTTATAGAATGGCCAAAATTACGAGTCAAAATGATCAAATTCTCAGTTGAGATACATACAAGATGCACTGAAATATGAAGCAAGATCTTCCCCTCCACTAGTTACCAGGAGGGTTTAATCAAGCTTTTGCCCCAATGATTGGTAGAGAAACAATGACTAAGTGGCCGTCCATGTAATTTGTGTGGGATGGTTGATCTTCTCATTGTGCGATCGCTAGCTAACTATATATAGGGGTAATCACGTGCGGTGGAGGGCCGCCTAGGCAACTAGTGCCCAACAATTTGTAGGAAGTCTCCGCTTACTGCCTGCCCGCCTAATTCAAGTCGGCATCTCTCAGCTTCATATCTGTGCTGACCGATTGCTGCCACAATGCCCTCTGGACCTGCGATTGCAGTTCTCACCCCACTCTTGTCCAATCATATTGGTCTGCCGAGGCACCAATGGCATTTCATGTGAAATATGCTATGATAGCAAAAGTTCTACAAAAACAGATTCTGCCTGTCAATGCCTTAATACCAGCAGATATTATTATCACACACGCTAAACTATATGAGAACTAAGTACTCCGTAACCGAGCCCATCATCTTCTTCCCCGCGGAGGATTCAAGGATCGCAAAGGGGAGGCTTTCCTTAGTCATTTGCTGGTTGTCGTTTTTAATAGTTGACCATCATCAACGTGGGTTTGTTAAGTCAAGCGCATTATCTCAGTTGCTATCAATGATACTTCGGCTCTACCATCCAACCCCGCAACGACTCCGTCTCTCTTCTGTCGTCTTGTTTTCCCAATTGGTGAATATCTTTATGGCCGCCCAGTGTCAGCAATGTTCAACGTTTACCTTTCAACGTTTATCTCAAACGGGCTTCCTCTTCTCGTCTCCGATATGAAGTGCGAGCGCTTAAACTGGCCGCAGAGCACACAACACTGAACGCGCCGCGGGTCCTTGATGTTATATAGAGCTTCCAGGAGGACGAATAAAATAGATGCTGACAACTCGCCTTCAAGTGGGGCCATTGCTGGGAGACACCTCTCGCTAATGAAATGTAGATCGAGCTGAAGCAGTCTGTTATTGATTTTCAGAAATAACGTAGAGCAAAATTCGGTCAATACCAAACCCATATCCCTAATAGCAGCACAGGACCCATATGACAAAGCTGCAGATTTGAACACAAATTACTTCCAGCTATGTGTGGCCCAATTCCAGAACACCATTGATAGAGATGTGATAGCAGATGAACAATACATTCTCGATACAACGTGTATTCTTTGCACATGCAGATCTTAACCCAGCAAACGTGTTGATACATAATGGTAGATTATCCGGCTTTGTGGATTGGGAATTTGCTTTTGACAATTTCACTCTACCGATACCTGCACTCTTTCCGTTGCTGCGGTTGAGCCCCATTGGGGAATCTACATCACCAACGAAGACGCGCAGCTCGGCATTTTCCACCACGCCAAACAGCGCGACAAGTGGTTGGTTGGTCATACGAATGTAAGCACACCACTGACAGGCTTCTACGCTCGAAATTGTTGGCATTCAGCTTTGAAAGCAGGGAACATCCCCCTACCAGACGGGCTTACCCAAATCGACCAAATCTTGGGCAACCCAAGTATGACCTCGCAGACCCCCGAATTTAGATGCAGGGCATGGGCACTGGACGGCCACGCTCCTACTCGCGTGGCAACGCTTGCACAATATCGGAATTGTGGATACTGCTGATACATCGGTGGTGATGGCCAAGGCGTACGAGCCTGCAGATGTGGTTCGAGCAAGCATAGATCTAGGGCAAGGGAATATACTGTTGCATCGCTATAAAATTATTCCCCTTTTTGGGTTTTCTTGTAATGATAGAGTGTTTGTTATATGGAATGCCAGTCAGCCACTGGTAGGAACAACATGTAGCAGTGTTTCTCGTGTATGCTGGAAATGAAGCGAGCGCATAGAACATTTATGGTCAATTGGGTCCTGGTCTACCGTTGACACACCATCTAAAAGCTCTTTGGCTCGAAAACGAATGCCCAGAGGCAAACCTCATTAACATAAAAGAACTAAGCGATGGGGGTGGAAGGTTGGTTGATTGTAACTATGGACTTCTAGCGAGCAATAGGTTATTTTTGGGCAAAGCTAAACCAAAGCTTTGGGTGGGTGATGTCATTTTAGCTAATTAACAGTTGACTAATGTAATCATGTGACTGTTGCCACGGCAACAGTCGTTCCTGCTGTTGACGAATCAAGAACGAACCAGCAAAACAACAGAGAAGAGCAAGATTCATACTCGGACTCGACATCCTCAGACCCTCTTTGCCATTTGAACCCTTTGGTCTACAACCCTCCCATTAATGAGCAGGTAGCTCGCTGTTCTTATTACTTTCGGTCTTACATGATCCCATAGTCGCTGTCCCAAATCCACAATGGCGCCAGGGGATTTGATTGACTTTGATTTGATCGAGGCACAAAAGGAAAATGTTCAATCCCTCCCTGGTGGACGGTCAGCGAGGGCACTTGCTGCTGTTCTCTCTGGAGGCCCTGGTGGTGCTTCATCACCAGGACTGGATGAAACCAGATCTTTTAACGATTCAATCCGCCGAGAATACGAAGTCGAACTTCAATCCATCGCCGAATCTGACGACCCGCTGGATATATATGACCGCTACGTGAAGTGGACTTTGGATGCATACCCATCATCACAGGCTACACCACAATCTGGTCTTCTTCCACTACTGGAGCGTGCGACGAAAGCGTTTTTGTCATCGACCCATTATAAGAACGACCCACGATATCTTAAACTCTGGTTACATTATATTCGGATTTTCTCCGATGCACCACGAGAGACATTTGCGTTTTTGGCGCGACATGGTGTTGGAGAGAATCTTGCCCTATTTTACGAAGAATTTGCTTCCTGGTTAGAAAGTGCTGGGCGGTTTACACAGGCAGAGGAGATTTATATACTAGGGCTAGAACGAGAGGCGCGACCCACTGAACGATTACTACGGAAATTCAATGAATTTCGAGCCCGGCTTGAACATCAGCCATGGCCCTCAGACGGCCCATCCTCACCTGCGTTGCCCAAGGTGCGGCCAGCCTTGGCAGCGAAAATCGACCCCTTCGCTTCCACTGCGCCGTCGCCTGTTGATCCCCAAGCACCAACACCAGCAGCCGCCAGAGGCCCGACATCCAAGAGGTCTGGAAAGCCAAAGATGGCGATTTTCTCCGATGCCGATAGCACGCAAGATAGTGGAAAGCCGCTGGCCGGTAGTAAAGCAAAGGGTTGGGAGAGTATTGGGTCGCTGCATGATCGCAGGAAGGAGAATACAGTGGAGGCGAAACCTTGGGTCGGGGAAACATTGAAATCAGGGAAACGGGTTGGAACAGTACAAAAGATGGAGGTGTTTAAGGATAAGGTGAGTTGCATATTTTTTTTTCGACGTCCCCATTATTCAAAAGCAAATCTGATGTCCCATATTCACGACCATAGGACTAATTTCTGGCATGTGTCCATATGGCGTTTTTTCCATGGTTTTTGGTGTATTTCAGACATCTACATCACCGTCCTCACCTGGACGTCTTCAAGCAATAATAGTAAATAATATACCTCTCCCTCGCAATGAGAAAGAAACAGTCAATCCCAGAACTGGTAAAGTTGAACGAGTGTATGTCAACCTTGAGGCTATATATCCTGACCCTGATAATCCGCTCGTTGAAATGAGTCTTGAAGAGCTCCGAGCATTCAGCCGGGGATGGATGGACAAAAATTGGTCGAAAGAAGACAAAGAACCTTTGATGGAGATATCTGGCAATGTTCCCAACAGGGATCCCTTTATCCACGGAGAAGATGAGGTGGTTAGGGAAGGTGTCAACCAAATTGAAGGAGAAGCTTGTAGTTCACGAACA